AGAAGCGTTTTCCGAGGATGTCTCGAGCGAAACGTTTTTTTTTAAGCCCCAAAGGCCGTCCTACTCGATAATTAACAAGGCGGAGCGGCCAATAGACCAATTCCCTCCCCCTACCCCCCTCCCCTGGAACCCATCCCTTTCGGGCTTCGCCCACACCAGAACGTCATCACTCGTACCTCGCTCTTTCCGTTATCCGCCACCCCCTTTTGATTTATCAAAGCGGTGCCTGGCGTGCCGAATTGTATGGCTTTTGGTTTTGGTTCTTTTCCCAAAAGAACTCGCCCTGGGGCGTCGGCACGTCCCGCTGGGGTCCCGGGAGATTCCCGAAAATTGCTCCGTCGTCGCCTTTGCTGCCCCAAGATGGCCCAAGATGGTCTCCCAGACGGCCAAGATGACCCAGGATGGCCTCCAAGATGCCTCCAAGACAGCCATGATGGTCTCAAAGACGTCTAAAATAGCTCCAAAATGCACCCAAGACGGCCCAAGATGGCCTCAAGATTGTCTACGACGGCCCAAAAGGCCTGCAAGAGGCCTCCAAGACGGCCCAAGAGCCCTCCAAGACGTCCTCCAGGAAGGCCCCAAATGGTCAAAATCATTGATTTTCCTTCGGTTTTTGAAGGATTTTGGCATTTACGCCTTTTCGGCTTTCCGACGGCCCAAGAGGCTCCCAAGATCGCCCCAAGATCGCCCAAGAGGCCTCCAAGATGACCACATGACGACCCCAGACGACCCCAAGAAGGCCCTACGAGGGCCCCACGACGGCACAAGAGGCCTCCAAGACGCCCAAGATGGCCTCCAAGACTGCCAAGATGGCCTCCAAGACGGCCCCGAAGCGCCCTAAGAGGGCCCCAAGTCGGCCCAGAAAGGCCCCCAAGACCGCTCCCGACGGCGTCAGACGTGCCAGGAACCCACCAAGATGGCCGAAGTCGGCTCGAAGCTGGCCCAAGACTGCCCAAGAGGCCCCCAAGAGAGCCTCCAGAAGGCCAAAAAAGGCCAAAAACGTTGATTATCCTAAGGTTTTTTGACGGATTTTGACATTTGCTTCTTTTCTGCCTTCCGACGGCCCGAGACAGCCTAAGAGCCCCCACGGATCGCCGAAAGATCGCCCAAGAGGCCTCCAAAATTGCCCCAGAACGGCCCAAGAGGGCCCCCAAGACGGCACAGGAGGCCTTAAGACGCCCAAGATGGCCTCCAAGACGGCCCTGGAGCATTCCAAGAGGGCCCCAAGTCGGCCCATAGAGGCCCCCCAAGCGGCTTCCGACGGCGTCAGACGGACCAGGAGCCCACCAAGATGGCCGAAATTGGCTCGAAGCTGGCCCAAGACGGTCCAAGAGGCCTCCAAGAGGGCCTCCAGAACGGCCCGAAAAGGCCAAACTCATTGATTTCCAATGGTTTTTGAAGGATTGTGGCATTTGTTTTTTCTGCCTTCCGACGGCCCGAGACTGCCCAAGTGCCCCCAAAGGTCGCCCAAGAGGCCCAAGAAACGGCTCCTAGAGGCCACCAAGACGGCCCAAGAGGTCTCCAAGACGCTCAAGATGGCCTCCAAGACGGCCCAAGAGCCCTCCAAGACGTCCTCCAAGAAGGCCCGAAAGGGTCAAAATGACCTCCAGACGGCCAATATCACCTTCAAGATGCCCACGTGTTCCCCGAAGGCTTTCCAAACCGATTCGGGGAACACATGGTCCGATAACTTGGCAGGCCTGGCCTCAACGGTCGGCCACATAGGCGCTTCCAAAAAGGCAAGGGGCGGCGGTGATTCGCCGTAGGCGTCTTCGATCCGCCGCCCCCTGTTGCTTGCAACAAGGATGCCTGGCGTGCCGAACAATATGGCTTTTGGTTTTGGCTCTTTTTCCACAAGAACTCCCCCTGGGGCTTCGGCCCGTCCCGCCAAGGTCCCGGGAGATTCCCGAAAATCCATTCGTCAATGCCTTTGTTGCCCCAAGTTGGCAAAAGATGGCCTCCAAGACGGCCAAGATGGCCGAAGATGGCCTCCAAGATGCCTCCAAGACAGCCAAGATGGCCTCAAAGACGTCTAATATAGCTCCAAGATGCACCCAAGGCGGCCCAAGATGGCCTCAAGATGGTCTACGACGGCCCAAAAGGCCCGCAAGAGGCCTCCAAGACGGCCCAAGAGCCCTCCAAGACGTCCTCCAGGAAGGCCCCAAAGAGCCCAAATCATTGATGTCCCTTACGTTTTGAAGGATTGTGGCATTTGCGCCTTTTCGGCTTTCCGACGGCCCAAGACGGCCCAAGAGGTTCCCAAGATCGCCCCAAGATCGGCCAAGAGGCCTCCAAGAGGGCCCCATGACGGCCCCAGACGCCCCCAAGACCGCCCCTAGAGGGCCCGAAGACGGGGCCAAGAGGCCTCCAAGACGCCCAAGATGGCCTCCAAGACTGCCAAGATGGCCTCCAAGACGGCCCCGAAGCGCCCCAAGAGGGCCCCAAGTCGGCCCAGAAAGGCCCCCAAGACCGCTCCCGACGGCGTCAGACGTGCCAGGAACCCACCAAGATAGCCGAAGTTGGCTCGAAGCTGGCCCAAGACTGCCCAAGAGGCCCCCAAGAGGGCCTCCAGGAAGGCCAGAAGAGGCCAACAACATTGATGTCTCTGCGTGTCTGGTTAACGGATTTTGACCTTTGTTTCTTTTCAGCCTTCCGACGGCCCGAGACGGCCCAAGAGCCCCCAAAGATCGCCAAAAGATCGCCCAAGAGGCCTCCAAAATTGCCCCGGAACGGCCCAAGAGGGCCCCAAGACGGCCCCACGAGGCCCCCAAGACGGCCCAGGAGGCCTTTAAGATGCCCAAGATGGCCTCCAAGACGGCCCTGGAGCATTCCAAGAGGGCCCCAAGTCGGCCCATAGAGCCCCCGCCAAACGGCTTCCGACGGCGTCAGACGGACCAGGAGCTCACCAAGACGGCCGAACATGGCCCTAAGATTGCCCATGACGCCCCAAGAGGCCTCCAAGAGGGCCTCCAAGAAGGCCCGAAAAGGCCAAACTCATTGATTTCCAATGGTTTTTGGAAGGATTGTGGCATTTCCTTTGTTTCTGCCTTCCGACGGCCCGAGGAGCCCAAAGATCGCCCAAGAGGCCCAAGAAACGGCCCCAAGAGGCCCCCCAAGAAGGCCCAAGGTGCCTCCAAGACGCTCAAGATGGCCTCCAAGACGGCCCAAGAGTCCCCCAAGACGTCCTCCAAGAAGGCCCGAAAGGGTCAAAATGGCTTCCAGACGGCCAAGATCACCTTCAAGATGCCCACGTGTTCCCCGAAGGCTTTCCAAACCGATTCGGGGAACAGATGGTCCGATAGCTTGGCAGGTCTGGCCTCGACGTTCGGCCACAGAGGCGCTTCCAAAAAGGCAGGGGGCGGCGGTGATTCGCCGTAGGCGTCTTCGATAACTTCGCGCTCTCGCGCCGCCCCCCAGGGGAGAAAAAGAGGATGAGGAGGAATCGGAGCCGATCCGCGAAGCGCGAATAACTTCGCGCCCTCGAGGGCGCCCTTGCGTTTTCCTCTCCTAGCCCTCCTCTCTCACCTCCCGATGCCCAGCCGAGGACCGCAGACAGTGTGCGAGGAGACGATGGTGATCAGAGTCTTTAACTAAAGCGCTGGCATCAGCGCAGCCGTGCGAGAGCAAATCGGCCACAGCGCGGGGACCCACTCGTGCGGGAAAGGCGGCAGATCAGCTACAACGCTGGGAGCCGTGCGTGCGAGGAGGAGCTGGAGGCGAAGCTCGAGCTCCTCGCAAATAGTGGGCGACATTTCAGGTACAACGCCGGGAATTGTTCGTGCGAGAAGGGCAGCAGTGAGCGCAGGATCGGCTACAACGCTGAGAATTGTTCATGCGAAGAGGAGCTGTGGGCGGCAGCCCGAGCTCCAGAGTCCGCGCGGGCCAAGGCCAACGTAGTTACAGGGCTGGGGCCAGCTCGTGCGTGCGAGAAGGCCGAGCAGTGGCAGCATCCTCTGTCGCTACTCAGCGTGGCAGGACGTGGACGGTCAGCTAGAACGCTTGGAGTAGACCAGGCGAGAAGGCAGGCAGTACGCGACATGCCAGCTACGAAGCTGGGAGTTTCTCATGCGAGCAGGCAGGCACTGATCGACATATCGGCTCCAACGCTGGAAGTAGTTCATGTATAAAAAGCGGCAGTGAACAGCACATCAGCTACAACACTGGGAGTTCATGCGACAAGGCAGGCAGTGGGCGACAACTCAGCTACCACACAGGGGGTAGCTCATGCGAGAAGACAGGCACTGAGCGGCATGTCGGCTACAACGCTGGGTGTGGATCATGCAAGACGGCAGGCAGTGAGCGGCACATCAGCTACAACAATGGGGGTAGTTCATTGGCGAAGGGCGGCATTGAGAGACATATCAGCTACAATGCTGGGAGTAGTTAATTTGTGAGGGGCGGCAGTGAGCGGCGTATCAGCTACAATGCTGGGAACAGCTCATGCGAGAAGGAAGGCAGTGGCAGTGCACGCGGTCATTTCGAGAAATGTAATCAAGGGCAGGGTGTGAAGCCGAGCCAGGCCCGCCCCACGACCCCTGCCACAAGGAAGGACCAGGGTGGAGGTGGGTGAAGCAGAGCCAGGCCCGCTCCGCGACCCACCTACAAGGGAAACAGGATGGGAAAGGGCGAAGCTGGAACCACATGACATTAGCTACAAACTTGAAACATAATCTTGTGCGAGAAGGCAGGCAGTTACAGCAGCTACCGCAATGCGATCAGCTCGTGCGAGAAGGGTGCAATCGTTGACAGGAAGCTTACGAGACACCGGCTCTGTTCAAGGCCACATGTGCAAAGCCGAACCTTGTCGCCCAAGGACGGCTTGAGGCAGGGGAAGCTTCGTGATTCGCGACTTCGGAGGTCAAGCCAGCTGAATCCAGCAGAAATCTCCTCCTCCAGCCGCCTCCGCCTCCGCCTCCTCCTCCTCCTCCTCCCCCGAACCGTCTCCTCTCGGGGCCACCGTGCCATGGCTGCTCCATGCGGCGGGGGCGGCGGCGGGGCGCCGTCAGCCACAGCGCACGGACGAGCAGGACGGAGCGTGGCTTCATCATGTCGTTGAGCACGAGGTGCGTCAGCACCAACAGAGCCGTGAGGCGCATCTGCGCCGCCTGCCAAGGGAAGGTCCATGCCTATATCCACTGGGTCTTGGACTTTCTGGAAAGGGGCGCCAGAAGGCCGAGGGGCAGTAGATGTGGATACAGATATGGCCTCTAGATTCTAGGGGCAATATCTTCATCCATCTCCACTGCGCCTCCAGCTTCTGGGGAAGGGAGCCCGAAACTCCACGACGCGGCGGACATGGACACAAATCTTGCCTGCGACCTGGTGGGGCCCACCGTGCGCACTGGAAGGAAGCAGGGGAGGGAGGTGAGGAGCGTGAGGGAGGCGGGGAGGCAAAGGGTGGGGATCAAGAGATAAGGTGATTGTTGTGTAGCGTTGATGCCCTTGAGGGTAGACAGAAGCCTGAGAGGAGCACGAGGCGCGTCAGCACCAGCAAACAGCCGTGAGGCGCATCTGCGCCCCCTGCCTGCGGAAACGGCAAGCGGAGAGGGGAATCATGTAAACTCGGGGGGGCCATCCGTGCGCACTTGGAGCAAGCTGGGGGGAGGGGAGGAGCGGGATCGGATCGTGTCGGCGGAAAAGATCGTCATGCACCACGCCGTCTGGGGTTCCATGGGCCACAAGGTTGGAGCACTACGCTCAAACTAAAGGTGTGGCAAGATTCATATCCCGCCCTGCCCGGCGGCGAACAAAAACACCGCTGGCCAAAAAACTCACAGACGAATCCCACCAGCCCTTTGGGCGTGAACGGTTTAGGGAGCCCTCTCTGTCCTCAACCCCCCTTCTTCCCCTCCGGGGAGGGGTTTACCCCTCCCCCTACCCCCTCCCCCTGGACCTGGACAGGGAGTCCGGGGCGTAGTCAGGGGGGTCTTTTTTGACTCCTGGGAGGGCCAAAAAACGACGACCCTCACGAGGATTCTGGCCCCGTCGGGGGGATACAGTTTGGCCCCTCTGCTCTTCTTGGAAGCCAAAATCGTTGATTTTACTACGGTTTTGGCCCCATTTTGGCGTCCAGAGGGGGCCGCGCTCATCTGCCTTCATAGCAAAATTATTGATTTTACGAAGGTTTTGGGCTCATTTTGTCCTTCTCAGGGGGCAGCGCTCCTTTGCGCTTCAGAGGAGGTCGCAAGAGGCCCCAAGATGGCCCCAAGAGGCCCCCAGGAGCCTCCCAAGAGGCCTCCAAGAGGTCCCCAAGAGGCCCCCAAGAGGCCCCAAGAGGCCCCCCAAGAGGCCCCCAAGAGGCCCCCTGAGGCCCCACGAGGCCCCCCAGAGGCCCCCAAGAGGCCCCCAAGAGGCCCCAAGAGGCTCCAAGAGGCCCCCAAGAGGCCCCACGAGGAGCCCGAACGACTCACACCAGGACGAGGGGCCCGAACGACTCACACCACGAAGAGCCCGAACGACTCACACCACAAGGAGGGGCCCGAACGACTCACACCAGGACGAGGCGCCCGAACGACTCACACCACGAGGAGCCCGAACGACTCACACCACGACGCGGGCCCCGAACGACTCACACCACGAGGAGCCCGAACGAGTCACACCAGGAGGAGGGGCCCGAACGACTCACACCAGGATGAGGGGCCCGAACAACTCACACCACGAGAAGCCCGAACGACTCACACCAGGACGAAGAGCCCGAACGACTCACACCACGAAGAGCCCGAACGACTCACACCAGGAAGAAGGGCCCGAACGACTCACACCAGGACGAGAAACCCCAAACGACTCAAATCACGAGGAGCGCTTTCTCTCCCTCCTCCTCCGCCTCGTCCTTCTCCCGCTCCCCCCACAAGGAGGATGTACAAGGAGGCTGGAGGAAGGAGGAACAGGGGAGATATGCGGGGCCAAGCGGACGCACGCCTGAAAAACACGACTGTCGGCATGCTTCGCAAGAGTTGCTGCTGTGAGATGGGCTGGTGGGGATACGCGAAGCGTAAAGAATTATGCCACCTTTAGAATCGATGCAGCGAAATTCCCACCCTACATTTACCTTTCAAGTAACTCTCGTCTCGATATTGACAGCGCGGCCAGGACGAGTGGGAGGGAGAAGAGGGGATGAAGATGAAGGGAAACGGGGACCATAAAGTAGCGCCGATGCCCTGAAGGTCGGCCTAGGGGGGAATCAGCAGGCACGAGCGTGGCTCAGAAGTTGCCTGCAGGTGGCCCTACACTGCCACCTTGTATCGAACAGCTGCTGCAATAATGCAACGGTCTTCGCCCCCGAATATCAGCATTTCGAGGAGCGGGCCCGAGGCATGGGGCCCAAGGGCGACGCGACCCTGAACAGTGCAGGTTCAACCTGGAACTCCTCTGCTGTCCTTGCGTGTCCTCATTTGTGGGAGCGCGAACATACCGATCCCGCCACTCCCCGGATGCCTCCAGGGGTGCAAGCCGACCAGAATTTCGAGGCGATTCCAGCCGTCGCGACGAAGGATGGATAGCGCCATCCGAACCTCATCCTCTTTTGATCATTGGGCAACTGTTCGGCAGACTGCCTGGGCGGGAAATGAAATAGGGTCAGGCCCTCTCAAAAGGCGGCTTGGCTTCTCAGATGCCCTCGCGCCTTTTGAGAAGTCATCCAAGCCTTCTTCGAAGGCACAGGCGGCTTCCCAACGGCAGAAAGGACTCTTCAGAAGGCAGAGACGGCGGCTTCTCTGAAGGCCAAAATGCTAATGAGAAGCCCCGCCGCCTTCTGACCCCTCTCACTTCTCCCCTCCTGGCTCGCCGACGATGTGCCTCCCCTGGTCATCGGGCCACTACAGTCAAACCGCATAATTAGGATGCGCGGCAACGACGCAAGGACCTAGGAAGGCCATGCCAACACCTTTCGAGCGGGGCGCGGCCTGCCAAGGTGGGCAACACATTGCCGAATGGGAAACGATGCGAGAGAGTAAGTTTGGACAGTTGCTCATCTCCACTACCCAGGTTGACTGCATCTGAAACCCCCGACTGCCCGCAGGCTGCCGTCCGCCCCGGACCCGAACTTCTGGCAGCCCCGCTCTGCTCCTGCCCACCGCCCACCCACCCCTCCCTGACCGACGACGACGACGACGATCTCTTCCTCCTCCTCCTCCTCCTCCCTCCTCCTCTTCGTCCACCTCCTCCTCTTCTTCCTCCTCGTCCTCCTCGTCCTCCTCGTCCTCCTCCCCCTCGTCCTCCTCCCCAATCCTCGTCCTCGTCTTCGTCCCCCTCCTCGTCCTTTTTGAAGTTCCTCCTCTTGGCCCACGAGCCTATTCGAGGCTCTCCCTCCTCCTCCTCCTCCTCCTCCTCTTCCTCCTCCTCCTCCTCCTCCTCCTCCTCCTCCTCCTCCTCCTCCTCCTCCTCCTGCGCCTCCGCCTCCGCCTCCGCCTCCGCCTCCGCCTCCTCCGCCTCCTCCGTTCCGCCTCCGCCTCCGCCTCCGCCTCCGCCTCCGCCTCCGCCCCGCCCCCGCCTCCTCCGCCGCCGCTTCCGCCTCCTCCTCCGCCTCCGCCTCCTCCTCCACCTCCGCCTCCTCCTCCTCCTTTTCCTCCTCCTCCTCCTCCTCCTCCTCCTCCTCCTCTTCTCTCTTCTCCTCTCCTCCTCCTCCTCCTCCTCCTGTTCCTGCTCCTGCTCCTGCTCCTGCTCCTGTTCCTGCTCTTGCTCCTGTTCCTACTCCTGCTCCTGCTCCTGCTCCTCCTCCTCCTCCTCCTCCTCCTCCTCCTCCTCTCCTCCTCTCCTCCTCCCTCCTCCTCCTCCTCCTCCCGCCTCCTCCTCCTCCTCCTCCTCCTCCTCCTCCTCCTCCCTCTCCGCCTCCGCCCCCCCCTCGCCTCCTCCTCCTCCTCCTCCTCCTCCTCCTCCTCCTCCTCGTCCTCCTCCTTTTCCTCCGAATCCCCCCTCCTCCTCCACCCTCCTCCCTCCTCCCCCCTCCATCCTCCCTCCTCCCTCCTCCCTTCTCCCTCCTCCCTCCAGCGGAGAGCTCTCTTTTTGCAAAAGCCTGAGCCCAAGTACAATTACACTCATATAAATCAGCTAGGTGAAGCCAGGCCAGCACACAGAATACTGATAATAACATATACTACTTATACGACCACCCTTCGGGTGATAAGGAGGTTCGGGGGGGGGGGAGGAACCAACGTCTCACTCGATCAGTCTCACTATCGATATCACTATCGATTTCAGTATCGGTCTCGCTCGATCGATCTCCCTCGATCGATCTCACAATCGATATCACTCGATCTATCTCACACTCGATCTCACTCGATCATCATCATCATCACCATCGTCCTCATCAGCATCAGCATCATCATCATCATCAGCATCACCATCACCATCATCATCATCAGCTTCAACATCAGCATCAACATCATCATCACCATCACCATCGTCATCATCATCATTATCATCATCATCACCATCGTCATCTCATCACCAACGTCAACATCATCATCATAATCATCATCATCATCATCATCATCGCGGGACACCGCGGGACACCGGCGGGACACCGCGGGACACCGCGGGGCACCGCGGGACACCGCGGGACACCGCGGGACACCGGCGGGACACCGCGGGCCACCGGCCGCCCGAAGGGAGACATTTGGTCCGGCCGCGCCTCAGCCACACGGGACACCACCGAGACACCGGCGGGACACCGCGCGCCACCGGCCGCCCGGCGGAGAATCATTTGGTCCGGCCGCGCCTCAGCCACAGGAGACTTTCTTCTCGCCCGCCCACGCAGCTTCGCCTCGCCCGCACGCACGGCACGCACGAACACGAAACCGAAATCGATGTCCCGGTAAGGGGGCTCTCCGTTCCACTTCGATCTAACCCCCTCACCTCCTATACCTGTCCTACCTCAGACCTGAATCTTCGCTCCGGTTCTTGCGCCCCGGATACCAAATTATTTAATTCGGGTATTCGCTGGGTGCGCCACAAAACAGATATAGGTGGTGTAAAATATTCACTTAAATACTATACACTCTCAAAAATCCAATTCAAGAGACAAGCAAACAAGTGGCCAGCGGCAGGGCAAGAAGCAGCAGTCAAGCCTCCTTGACGATGTCCAGGCCGTCGACCAGAGACCACCACT